GCCAGTGAACTCAACTAGGTCAGCGGACCGCCACTCCCCCGTTTTTGGCCTGCTGCTACTCCCCCCTCACCGAGCTGCAGCGGCTGCAGGCGCGCGCATGAGCGCGCGCGCACCCGCGAACACGCACACATAACACACACTACTACCTTCTGCATGACTCATCACTGAAGCAACAATAGGCAGAAAGGAAAGGAGGGCGAAGCGAAATCTCTACCACAACCAACCTGACTGAAGGGTTGGGAGGGGGAGGTTCGGAGAGGGCAGGAGTCCCCGGATACTGTTTGTGCGCGCGCACACACACACACACACACACACACACACACACACGGACTGATACAGGCCTGAGGCCCCGGGAAAACGGAGGTCTTTACCCCAGTCCCTATTTCTGCAGCACCCTGAAGCTGAGGGCCATTAACAAGGACGGGTGGGGATAGGAAGCATCCGAAATCTTTCCTCTCACCCCTGTCGAGGGAGCTCCTAAGTTTGCCCCTTCTTAGCTCGGCTCGTTTCACAATGTGGTCAGGGATTTTGCCAGGAGGTTCTGGTGAGAACGTTTTGGGGTCAGTGGGAATATGTGAGCTCTAGATATCCTGTTGCTTTGCAATTCTAAGGATTTCCCTCTCCCCATGATCAAAAACAGGCGGTTGCAGCGAGAACTGACAGGTGAGCTCGGCTTCTCCTTCACAGGGCAAAGGCTCGCCCAGAGAGATGCCCAGCGCCCAAAGCCAGAGCCCAGCCGGGCGCCAGGACCCTGGCCAGCCCCGCCCAGGCCCCGCCCCCGGCTGAGCGCCAAGCAAGGAGAAGGGGCCGGGCCGAGCCGTCCCTAGCGGGAGTGTCCCCAGTGCACGTGGTCGGGGGCGGGGTTCGTCCACGTCACCACCCGGTGTAACCAACGGGCTTGGTACGCAGACACACGCAACATTCCAGCCGAGAGCGGGTATGGAACACGAAGACAAGCCACATTCCACTTCGGCTAAAGTGGGGCGTAGAAAAGGTGGGACCAGGGGCTGCCTTCAGTGACCTGCGGGCCGTTTTTCAAACACCCAACCAGCCCGCTCTCACCCAAACCCCTGACGCGCGACCTAGCCCCAGCTTTGGGAGGCGGGGTCAGGCGGGGCTGGCCAGGATCATAAGACACGCGATGTCATTTCATTCTGCAAAGGCCGCCTCCGCCCCAAGTGGCGCGTAGATATGCCGGGAGCACCCCCCCGCACCCTCCCCATAGGGTCAGGGAAACCGGGGAGTTGCTCCGCCTAGAGTAATTCCTAGCCCCCACTCCGTTACACACACGCCCACTCGTGTGCACTCTACACTCGCCCGTGTACACATCTGATCATCCGCTCTCCTCGAGGCTCTCATACATCCCCCGTGCACACACGCACGCACACGCGGGTCTGCCCCCCTACGCAACACCATTGCTCACCCCACCCCACCTCCGGCTCACACATTTTCAGAGCTACCGAGGGCACCGCTGACCCACGCGAAAGGAGCCCCCACGAAAGGTGCACAAGGGGTGGCAGGCAGCTGCGGTGGCGCTCACAGGAACCGGGTCCTTCGCTGCATGTTAATGAAGTCATTAATTAATTTCACTGCCCACAACACTCCTCCCTCCCCGGGCGGCGGCTCTTGCGAGAAGCCTTGCGCTACTCGGTTTCGCGGGCCGCCCGGGAGGGGATCCAGCCTGCGGTTTTGGCGTGGTTTTGAGGACTGGGGTCGTTCGCCTCCCCTTTCCCCGTGCCCCAGGGGCCCAGCCCGGCCGCTCACCACGTGCTCTCTGTTGTTGCTGCGCTTGCCATTCCAGGAAGCGGGCCGCCTCCAGTAGCGTCTCTATGCTCATCGCGCCGAGAGCTGCCGGGGGCGCGCCGGGGCCAAGACTGCGGCCCGGGAGCCAGGCACAGGACAGGCTGGCGGGCTGGCAGGAGGGAGGGATCACGTCCGGGGGGCGACAGGGCTGGGCGGCGCAGCGCACTCCGTAGGGAAGAACAGGGGAGCAACGGGGGGAAAATCAATGTCTCCCAAAATTTTGCAAAATATAATTTGCAAATTTAAAATAATTTGATGCAAAAAAAAAAAGGAGGCACTGCCTCCCTTCTTCCCCTCCCTCTCTTCCTTCCTTCTAGTGCCTCCCGCCCCGCGGCCCCCAGGAGTCCCGCCGACAAGAAAAGGCTTTGCAACAAGATGGCGAGGAGGCACCGACACACACAACAAGGGAAGGAGCCGCGCTGCCCCCGGCCGCCACCCCCGCTACTACACCGGGGCCGCAGCCAAAGCCCGGACCGGAGCCCCCACCCACAGGGCCGTGGCGTCTTACGGAATGAGGGGCGGGGTCGCGAGCGAGCTTTCCCCGCCCACTACAAGTACGACGCGAGCACACGTGGTCTGGGTGGGGGTGGGAGAGGCTCGAGCCGGGTTCGCGCCCTTCATTTCCGCTTTCCCGCCTCACCCCGCCCCGATTGCATCTCACAAGTTGAGCAATGGCTGTGTGTTTGGGTCATTCACAACGAAATTTGTCTTGCCGGAGGGAAGGAAGGACGGAAAAGTCAACACTTAAGTTAGCTCAAACAAGGACATTCTTGGTCAGGGAAACCCTGGGGTGGTAAGTACCAGCCTGATCCCTGAGTCTCCACTCACTACCCACACGTGACCTAATTCCTGCAGCCACCCGGCTGTCGCAATTCCTCCGGGATCCGCCCCTGGGCGGAGCTGACAGCAAGAGGCAGACAGAGAACTGGCAGAGGGAGCGGAGTGGCGATCCGACTCCACATTTTGTTTCCATTCCTCCCCCCGCAGGACGTTAGCATCCTATTAGCTGACGTCACCGGGCTCTGGGCCAATGGGCGGGCAGGACAACACGGCATGGAGCAGCTCCACATGGACACCCCAGGCCGCCAGCCTTCTGTTTAAAGGGCCAGTGTTTAGTAGGGTCACATTCGTGGGCTGCTGTTTGGGCGAAGGGTGGGACACCGAGAGGGAAATTCCGCTGTTGTGCTCTGGGTTGATTTTTCACCATCCTTTCTTTAAAACAAAGTCTCTCCTTCCCTCAATATCTTTGTCCACTCGTATCTGATGTGAGTTGAGGCTCGAAGGGTGCCATCCCAGAGGCCACCCTTTACTTGGGACCCGCGAGGGGAGGTTGAGAGGTAGCCATAGCCCAGACTAAGGGGGCGTGGCTCAAATCGGGAACAACAACGTGGAGGGCGGAAGCCCTGCCCTCAGGGTGGCTGGGATACAGAGGCAGCAGGCGGGGCACGGGGGCGGGGCCTGTTTGCCAGACTTCAACAACGCTCTCGGGGAGGGCAGTGGGACCCCTGGCTGACATTCCTTAACCACCGCTTCTGGCGCTAGTGTTTGAGATCGTATGGGGGAGCAATCAGAAAGTTAGAACTTTTAGATCAGCTTGCTCAAATCCTCCCTTTTTAGATAAGGAAACAGGTCCAGAGACTAGAAAGGACTTGCCTAAGATTACTCAGTATTTTAGTTGCTCCGTAGGGCGGAGCAATTATTCGTGACCCCATGGATGCCTTTTTTGGACAGTTCTAGGACATGGTCCCCAATTAGGAAAAAGGTCCTGGAGGAACATCAAATTGCTCACACGGGAAGTTGTGATTGCAACCACCAAAATCTTTTAATTGAAACCCTGTTCTGCTTTGGTGGAAGCTGCAGAAACCCCTGGTAGTTTGCAGTGACACACGTTTGCTGAAGGCATACTTGGGGCACCCTGTATGTTCAGGTAGGTTGTCCCAATGCCAGCAGGCCCAGTGTCCCCTCGGTCCCGGCCTAAGATTCCTTTCATTGCTAACCAGTACACTGGGACACCACCATTTGGGTTCATAGGAAGCAAACCTTTATGAGGGCTCAGTGGCTGACGCCCAGCTAATCCATCCCATCCCCACTGTGCCTTGGAGTAGGTTCCTATTTTGGGGACCAGAGTGCTAGACTATTGAAAACTGGTACAGATGCATTCTTATGGGCTTTGCACCTTACCTTTGAGGGCACAGTACATACTAGGGAAAGGAAATCTGCAGAGATCCTGGAAACCAAGAACCGAGTGAACGGGAGTAAGGGGGCTGTTTGCCAGCACTAGTCTTCAAAGGTCCCTGACCTTTACAGTTAATGCCCCAGCATCTGCACCTGGTCAGAGAGGCCATTACAAACAAACAAATGCCTGAGTACTACTGATTTTATGATAAAGCTGGAAGGCAACGGGGGATTAGAGAACAGCTCAGTTCTTCTTGAGGGGATAGATGAATGCCATTTTCCTGGAAGGGCTAGATCTGTACTGGTTTTGACATTGCTTCCTCTTGTGGGGTTTCTGACCTTATGGCATCTCTGGGCCGCATTGTTCCAATTGTCTTGGGCCACACATTACTTTGTGATACATAATCACACATACACACAAAAAAATCTTCATGTTTTAAGTCAACTTAAGGTTTTGTGTTGGGCCACACTCCTAGTCATCCTGAGCCACAGGTTGGACACCCTTGCCGGTCTAAGGTGTCTGCAACCTGCTACCGATGTGGTTGGGCTTGGCTGACTTCATGACCAAAGAAAATGGCAAATTTAAATGCCCTATATAGGTGTGTGTGGTAGAGGGAGGGTAAACAGTATATGTAATGTATATGTACTAGTGGTCTGAAATAATGTTGACAAAGTTCTCATTTTGTTTGGGGTTAGCACTGAACCATTCTGCCCAGTGGCCCATGATGCTCAGGGAGCCACAACCAGAGTGCCCTTCTGCCTTCAGGTAGTCATGGCACACATACAGCTCTTGAAGTATCTGGAGGCTGAAGTCCAATTTTCCTGATTCTTCTCATCAGGGACCAGCTCTATCATTAAGAAGGTACCATTTTGAAAAGTAATATTCTAAAGACACCTTTTCCTTCGGGGATGAGGAAGCAGGAGATAAAAGTGAAGAGATTCAAATGCCAGCCTCTCCCTTGCCCCCAATACCCCATCTGCTCTAGAGCTTAGTGGAGATGCTTGCTATTTAAAACAAACAGCCTTACTGGCTTCACATGATCATCTGTTTATTTGGGTCATGTGGGGACAGCAGCCAGGGGATGTTAGGCAAAAGCAAGGGTTTAGAAAGGAGGTTTATTCCGGCCCTGTTGTGGCCTACAGAAGCTTGAAAATGGTCAAACAGAATTTCTCATCTACTATAGTCCCTGCACGTGGGGAATGGACAAATATCTCTGTAAAGGGGGTGGGGTGGGGAATAAAAGGAGAAGGGAATGAACAGAAGGGCCGTTTAACATTTTAGTCTCAGCTTCCTGTTTCAAAGGGGTGGAACTAACGACGCTGCCGATTGTATTCATTCAAGGGAAAGGGAAAAGAAATCCTTTTGATGTTGAGCAGGAAGGTTAGCACATTTTGGGAATGATCCAAAGCCCAGCCATTTCCAAAAAGTTGTTCTGAAGTTTCTTTATGGCTTCTAGGTGCTTTAGTACCTTTGGGGCAGGAAGACACCATGGCCATCCATCACTGTGTGCTTTCTCACGAGATTTCTATTTTTAGTCTTCTTCCTCCAGTCTTGTACACCCCAATGCCCAGATTAAGTCCCTCAGTTTTTGAACATGCATTCCTTGATGGACTATCTTCCACCCCTTATTCACCCCAACAAGTTTAACATACATACACAACTCCAAGAGCTATGAAAAATCAGTTTCCTGACCAGTACAAAGCATAAGTAATGAGATAGGAGAAAGGTGTGATGCCAAAAGTACAGGTATTCACATTAGATAACAGAGATGCCCTCCCATCCAAGTCCTAACCAAGCCCAACCCTGCTTAGCTTCTGAGATCAGGCGCGATCAGGGTGGTATGGCCATAGACAGGTCCCAGAGATGTCCTAACACTCCAGGCCTGACCTCTCAAATTCTGCAAGGGGTTTTAGGGAGTTTTTCACTTACCATAATTAAAACAAAACCAGGAGAAGAAAATCAGCTATAAGATGTAGAGGAAGGAACAGAAACTAGTACACCCAGGGACACACCAGACATTATTTTAACAAATATTTACTGTGGGCCTAACATGTGCCAGGCACTGGGCTGGGTATCCTTGTAGCCAAGACCAGGTGACCCTTTGGTAAGCCAGAGTTGGGTAAAAGGTCAGAGAGCAGAACTCTACTCCATACAATACCTAGGAAAAGATTAACTTTGCTCTCTACCACCCTGCTGGATGTAGCACAAGATCATAGGACTACACAAAGACCATTAAGAGTACTGAGATACTCATTTTAGAAGGTTAGGTTCCCAGGTAATCATATTTTTGTTAGAAGGGATAAGAAGTGAAGTGGATTTAAGGTTGGGTTAGCCAACTGACCCTGATTCCTGATAAGCCCACCTTGAAAGGTGAGCAAGATTTTTAATTACTTTGATAGAGGTGTATCCTATGGGGTACTCATTCAGTCATCAGTGAAGTGGGCGCCGCAGAGCTGGCAGTTCCCATCTAAGTCTTTACCTAGCTTCTTCTACCTGGTCAGTTGTCAAAGGACCTCTCCTGAACCTACAAAACTGGTACAATTAAGTTCCACCTTCCCATTCAGGTACTTTTCCCTCTTCACTGCCTCACATGTTGTCACAGCTGGAAGAGTGAGATCACTCGGTCCAAACTTTCAAGATAAACCTCTCATCCAAGGTCACAAAGCTGCTTAGTGTCAGCTGGGACGAGAAGTGGCCTGGTTCTCCTTAGATTGTGTGAACAGCCCAGCCAGGGTCAGTGAGTCCAGAGTCCTCGAAGACCTCACAGAAATAAGTGATGACGGGGAGATAACCTCTCCCTTCCTGGCTAAAGATAATTCTCATTAACTTTGCTTAGTGGTGCTCAATAAACAAGCTTAGCAGATAAATGAGAAGACAAATCAGAGGACTCAGAGGACACTATACTGTCTCAGACCACTCTGAGGAGTTAATGGCTTCTAACTGGGCCAAGGTAGATGGGCAGAGATTCTTCTCTTCTCCTGGAGTTAGCCTAAGAAGGTGACTGGGGGAAGAGGCAGATTTTTATTCAGGCAACCGCCCTGGGTGTGGACACTGAGTAATAAGGAAAGAAATGCAGTTCAAAAGCAAAAAGGGAGGAGTCACACACTATGAGCTTTTCTGAGAAACCAGAGAGGCTAGCCACTCTATGTAGCTAGAGATATGGTGCCTATGGATGATTTGGGAAGGAGGAAGATGATAAAGGGTGGAAAGGCACAAGGAGAAGGATGAGGGTTTCACTTATTCCTCGAGGAGGGGGCAGGAGGGGGGAGAATGTGGCTTTAGAGTAAATTATTTCAGGTCATGGGAGTGAGACTGGGCAGTTAGCAGAGAGAGGTAAAGTCTTATAATGTGAGTCAAGAGCCAGCTGGATCAGTGCAGGTGGGGGAATATTGATGAAAGGGAAGGCCGCTTCCAGATCATAAGGGATGGAATACAATCAGCCCTACAGAAAGGCCTAAGGTCTATTCTATTGCCCTAGCAATCCAAGTTCATACCTAAAAGCAAGGCTGCAGGACCAAGTCTTTAAAACCCAAGAGATCAGCTACCTGCGCTGTAACTGGTACCCTCTCAGAAGACTATGTAAGGCCAGGAGCAGTGGCCAGTCATTGGCTGGACTGCCTAGATCCAGGGCCTGCAACCAAGATTCTTACTAAGGTCTCAGCGTCTACTGGGAGAGAGTATACACTGGGCAGTAATGGGGATACTCAGGACACTCCAGGAGCAACACATCGGCCTGTGCCTCTCGTCCCACCACTTCCAGGCTGGGGGCTGGGATAGTACATACCTCCCACCCCCTTCTGCTCAAGTCCCTGTTCCCAGCACAGATGCCTCAGATGGTGGTGCTAGAGATTATCAGTTATCTCTCTGATGCATAACTCTGTGATAACTCTGAACCATTCATTAAACAGGGGTCCTTAAACCTCATACCATAAACCAACACCAATTCAAGTGTTAAATGTAAAAAATAATGCCAAAAAAGACGATAATAATATATGGGCAGACATTTTTTTCTGCTCCAAGTGTAGTGAAGGAGGTGTTTACCCATAAAGGCAAACAAAGAAAATGTAAAGGAACAGCCTGACAAATTTGATTACTCAAACCCTCAAAAAATTCCTTAACTGTGAAAACAAAACAAGATCACCATAAATAAAAGGAACACATAAATGATAAAACAGAGGAAAATATTGGCAAGATGTGCCTTTGCAATTCAGTGACAGAAAGAACACCTGCATATAAAAAATGAACACAAATATAAAGTTTGTAAAACAACATATGAAATAATACAGGGTCCAGCAGAAGTAACACCAGCTTGAGTGTGGTTGGTAGGGTAATAATATGGGTGTAATAATTTATACTTTTAATTTGAACATTTCACCTAAAATGTCATATGGTGTGCTTGAGTGTGCCATTGTTGTGTTATAGAATTACATGCTTATGATTTTATAGTAAAAGATTTTGTAATTAAAAGGGGTGTTATTGCCCTGGCTGGTGTAGCTCAGTGGATTGAGCTTGGGCCTGCGAACCAGACAATCGCGGTTCGTTTCCCAGTCAGGGCACATGCCTGGGTTGCAGGCCGGTTCCCTGCAGGCCAGTTCCCAGCAGGGAATGCGCAAAGGGCAACCATACATTAATGTTTCTCTCCCTTTCTCCTTCCCTTTCCCCTCTAAAGATAAAATAAATAAATTTTAAAAAAGGGGTGTTATTTATATCAGACCCTGTATATACAACAAAATGTTGTATAACATATTTCTATGTTGTACATATAAATACATGAAAATGTTTGACCTTATCAATATCATAATAAATTGATAAAAGGATTTCTAAAAATTAGACTTCTAATGCTATCAAAGGTGTGGTAAAAACAGGCACCTATGAAAGTGTAAAGTAGCCCAAAAGTTTTTAACAGGCAAACTGGCAATATACATATAGAACCTTTAAAAGAGTCCCTATCTTCTGCTTCAGTGATTCTTATGTAAGTTTACACTAAACCAATAACAAATATTTTTAGAGAGATACTCAATAAAGCATTATTTATAATACTGAACACCAGAAAACTTCAATTCCCAACACGGAACAATTGGGTTAGTGAAGTAATGCTCACAATATAGCATGTGAAGACGAAGAGGGTTAATGTACCAAGATATTAACAATGGCTGTGTCTGGGCAGTGTGATTACTGGTAATTTTTATTTTCACAAGTTTTCTGATACAGAATAATTTTATAATCAGAAAAAGGTTATCATATATTGCTAAATGAAAAAGATTATGGAACAGTAATATACAATATGATCCCACATTTGCTGTTTAAAATTATATATGCATATAAAAATACTAAGATAGGGACTTCCAGCCAAGATGGAGGTGTAAGTAAATACATTTTGTCTCCTTGCACAACCCGAAGGACAACAAATTTACAAACAAAAATGAGAACTGCCAGAAAACTGAACTGTATGCAGGTCACAACCAAGGAGTTAAAAAAAAAAAACTCATCCAGACTGGTGGTGCACTGAGACAAAGACACGTGGCCAAACTGAAAGAAGAGATAAAAACTCCAGAAAAACAGCTAAGTGATGAAGAGGTAGCCAACATACTGGATGCAGAGTTCAAAACACTGGTAATCAGGATGCTCACAGAAATGGTTGAGCCCTGGCTGGTGTAGTTCAATGGATTGAACATAGGCCTGAGAACCAGAGGATCGCGGTTCGATTCCCAGTCAGGGCACATGCCTGGGTTGCAGGCCAGTTCCCAGCAGGGATGCACAAGAGGCAACCATACATTGATATTTCTCTCTCTCTCTCCTTCCCTTCCCCTCTAAAGATAAATAAATAAAAAATCTTTAAAAAAAGAGAGAAATGGTTGAGTATGGTCACAAAAAAGAGGAGAAAGTGAAATAAAGAATACTATACAGAGAACCAACAGTGAAGGGAAGAAAACTGGGACTCAAATCAACAATTTGGAACAAAAGGAAGAAATAAACATTAAACTGAAACAATGAAAAACAAGAATTCAAAAAAATGAGGAGAGGCTTAGGAACCTCTGGGACAACTTTAAATGTTTCAACATCTGGCATAGAAGTGCCAGAAAGGGAAGAGGAAGAGCAAGAAACTGAAAACATTTTTGAAAAAATAATGGAGAACTTCTCCAATCTGGCAAAGGAATGAACTTCCAGGAAGTCCAGGAAGCTCAGAGAGTCCCAAAGAAGGTGGCCCCAAGGATGTACACACCAAGGCACATCATAACTACATTAGCCAAGATTAAAATGAAGGAGAGAATCTTAAAAGAAGCGAGAGAAAAGGTGACAGTTACCTACAAAGAAGTTCCTGTAAGGCTCTTAGCTGATTTCTCAAAAGAAACCTTATAGGCAAGAAGGGGCTGGAAAGAAGTATTCCAAGTCATGAAAGACAAGGACCTACATCCAGAGCTGTCATTTAGAATGGAAGGGCAGGTAAAGTGCTGCTCAGATAAGGTCAAGTTCAAGGAGTTCATCATCACCAAGCCCTTATTATATGAAATGTTAAAGCAACTTATCTAAGAAAAAGATAAAAAATATGAACAGTAAAACAACAAACTCACAACTATCAACAACTGAACCTGAAAAACAATGAAAACAAAAACAAAGCAAACAACTAGAACAGGAACAGAATCCCAGAATTGGAGATCACATGGAAGGTGAGTGGGGAGGGGGAGGAAGAATGGGGGAAAAGGTACAGGGAATAAGAAGCATAAATGGGAGGTACAAAAAAGACAAGGGCAAGTTAAGAAGAGTACAGGAAATGGAGAAGCCAAAGAACTTATATGTATAACTCACGGACATGAGCTAAGGGGGGGAAAACTGTGGGGGGTGGGACTGCATGGCAGAGAGGAATAAAGGGGAAAAAAGAATGGGACAACTGTAATAACATAATCTGTAAAATATACTTAAAAATACTAAGACAGATAAAATGTAAAATAACTTCATTTGAGTAATTCTTACAATGAAAATGTATTACTTTGTAAAATGAAATGGTGTCAAAGGGGAAAAAAATTCTCCCGTGCTTTATGAGGAAGGGCCTCACGGTTCTTGATCTCAACTACTTTGACCTGTTGCTGTGGGTCTACTTTCCATCTTAAGTCTTTATTCTGAAAGGTCTCTCATTTTACCCTCAAAAGCAGATTTGTCTTCCCTTCTCAATCCTACCTAAACCTGCTCTTTCTGATGCTTAGCTCTCACATTCCCCAGAAATGGTTCTGGCTACCCTCAGAATTCAGGTGACATGAGGAACAGCACTAACACAGCAGCACTAGGGATAAAGAGGTTGGGCTGGATTTAAAGCTATTTCTAAGGTGGAAGACTGTAGTAACTGGTGGTGAAAAGAGGGAGGAGCACAGATGACAAACTCATGTCTGGACAGTGACTGGACAGCTAGGTGGATGGATGGTGATCAAGAATAAAGGAGAAGCAGCGGGTGCAGACAGTTAGCTGAATCTGACACAGCCACAGTCCCGGGGGTTGATGTTCTGTATTTAGCTGGTTAGATATGTGGATAAAGGAACTTCAGAAAAGGGCTAGATCTGGGCATGAATGTATGGGTGAGCACTAGTTGATGTCATGGAAGTATATGAGGTCATCCATAAGGGGGAGAAAAGAGTGAACATGGCCCATGGACAGAATCTTTGGGATACTCTCTTAAAGAGATGAGAATAACTCTAAAAAAGGAGGGTGGCCAGAACTAGACTTCAGTAGCTGAAGTAAATGAGAGTTAGGAATAGAAGCAGCCACAAGCTGACAGTCTACCAGGTTTTTATATAATAATTAGTTGTCAGGATTTACAATTAGGTAAATTTCCCATAAATCTGGATTTCGGGCTTCCCTCAAAAAAATTTAATGATCCACCAACATAGGTTGGATGTTGGTAGGGTGATATTTTTGCATGGCAATAACCAGCAGAAACTGAATAAAAGCTAGCTCCTTTTAGTCAGAGCATGAGCTATCCCTTCTTGCCTGGCCCCTGGTGTAGAAGATGAGGAAGTACTGTACTTCCCTTTGTGAATGAAGAAGTCCTCATTAGTGCTCGTCTAGAGGTCACTGAAATACAGGCCAGGGTTTGGTCCATAATGCCCGTGTTTGGCCCTGAAGGCAGAAACCCTGGGACAACCAGGTCTGAATGAAGGATCCTGTCACATCAGACTGGGAACCCCCTTTCCCAGCCAATCTATGGGAGCAGGCCTGCCTCAGCGACAGTCCCAGGCCCAGCAGTGCTCTCTGGATGGCCTTCTCTCCTGGACAGCAGCAGCAGCAGTGCATTTCCCAGGGGGCTGACAGGCTGCTGGGGCCAGCCAAGTCCCCCAGCTGAGAACCTCCTGGCTCTGGCTTCTAGACTCTCAGGCCACACTCCCTGAATGGGTCTACCAGACGGCAGGCAGTCTTTTCTTTCTTCCAGATTTTGAGTTCATCTACCCTACCTGACAAAGATGACTTGCTGTTTTTCTGACAACTACCCTCTCCAGCAAGATTAAAAAGCACATCAGTTCTGCATCCTATACATGAAATATTTAGTGCTGTCTACTATTTTTTAAAAATCCTTCTTCAATTATTATACACTAGGTATTGTCTAAAAGTCATTATCTAATTATCAGTTATTTACATGATTCTGATCCAACACATACATGCAAAAGGTGTTTTATGGTTTCACTGACTACGTAATTATCTGCACAACTGCCAAATACAAAATTCTATGAAGATTTGGTAGCATAAATTAAGAATTACAAGTAATCTCACTTATTAAATCTTTGTCATTGATCATGACCTGGAAAATATTACTTCAAGGAGCTAAATTGTGAGGCTGGATAAGAGATGCTTTTTCTCTTTTCCCTGTGTCAAATAACTGACATCTCCTTCCCTAGAGGCCGGTCAATTTAGCCTGGATTTCCACCCTAAATGTAGCACTTGTTTCAAATCTTGAGATTTGGTATCTTGGATCTCTGAACCTGAGTTCAGCCGACTTAGCTCTGTTAATAACCTTAAGACAAGTCATTTAGGTTCTCTGAGCTTCTATTTCATCAAGTTATCACACAGGGACACCACACCGCTTGCAGGGGGTTACTAAATGTGACAATTTATATAGAAAATGGCTAATCAATACCGTTCATCCTCCAGTACATGGAAGCCTGGGTTTTGCTCTTGGTCGGAAAGTGGTAGTCTACACCTGCTATTATACACCAGAGGCCCTGGCCTTTTCATTTGAGTTTATTGGAAGATTTTTTGATTAGAAATTGAAAACTCAAAAGAATAAAGAGATGAATAGGTTGAAAAGCCTACTCCTTGTCTATGTATGCTTCCAAATGTTTTAGTACTTCTCTCACTTAACTGCTGCTACAACTCTGGGGGGCAAGAATTCTTCATCTTATGTATAAGGACGCCAAGGCTTAGTGGAACCGACTTACCCTGTAAGTGGAACTGGAACATAAACTGACATCTGATGAACTGTGAAGCCTGTACTCTTTTCTGTTTTTCATTCCCTTAGGGTGGCTGAAAAAGCACCTGTGACTTAAAACAACCACGGCCCTCTTAAGAACATCATATAGAAGCCAGTTCTGCCAAGTTCATCTGTACTTTCTGGTTCATTCCTTATTTCATTTCCATGGCTCAAAGTAAGGACCAGTGGTGACCCTCCACTTCCCTGAAGACAGCGCAGTCTCTGAGGTTTCTGCTTGAGCTGAGACAGGCGGGTAGCCTACACCTCAAAGGGCATCCAGCCGTGCAAGGCTTCACTCAGTCACAACACAGAGTAAAAGCATAGTCTCCAAAAGGCAGCATTAGCTGTTCCAACCAGCAATTAAAATAACAAACTGCTGTTTTAGCCATTTGGGTGAGTCACAGCAGAGGACCTGCTGCTAGTAGGGTGAGCCCCACGCAGGGCTAATACTGGGGTAGCTGGAGCACCAAGAGATTAACACTTGAAAACATTAGAAAGGTTCAAGACCGCCAATGCTCTGCTCCGGGAGGCAGAAGCCAGTTCATTCTACTGGTAAGCCTCTCCTGGGTTTTACTAGGGTTACTGCCCATTCAGCAAACCAAGTCTTCCAAGCCCCAACTTTCCTAAAAAATAACGTGGTTAGGTCCTTTTCCTGGGAGTAGCTCCTGGGTGGCGGTAAAACTGCTGCACTTTTGCAACTGTCCTACTCCTAGACAGCTCTAGTTTCCCAAAGTGGACTTTCTCCTCCTAATGTGCAGATCTGTTGGGTGTCCACCCATAACACCTGAGCCTATGCCATGCAAACAAGGGTAGATGATCTTCCTCTTGAGCCCACAAAGACCCCAGGGTTAGTACACATGTTCTACACAGAAACCCCCCTTGTGGGAAAGAAGGCCCAGCTAACCCCAGAATACGTACAACACAGAACCAACTATGTCAACTTTTGATGTAAACAACACCATTATATGCCTCCTAGTCACCCAGGCCAGACAAACCGAAAGAATTTAAAGACAAAAAGAACATTGAAAACAGTTTCTTTCTTAGAGCTATTTCTGTTCCTTGAACATAAGGCTTTTTGAAAAGTTACTGTTTAAGATCATTAAACATCCCCCCCTCCAGTACCCCAATTAACAAGATACTAATAAAAACTTGATCCAAAAGACTAACCCAACCTGGTATGTTCTAGAGTAGCAGGAGAGATGGAAAGAAAAGGAAAGAAAATGAAGAGTCAACTAGGACCATAAAGAAACTTAAAAGCATTGAAAGATTATGCCGATTAAAAAAGACATGGAATAGTGGGTTTTTTTCTTTCTCCTACTTTTATTTTTTACGTTTTACTTACATAAAAATATTTATCTGGGTAGCAAATGGGTATTTCAAGAAAATACCAAAGACACAATTTTAACTATTCCCATGGTGCAGTTAATTGATAAAAAGAGCCAAGGGTGCCCCCATGTGGCCACGGAGGAAAATGCTGCAGCTTAAGATGGAGGTGCTAACACCTTTTAAGAGGCCTTGGGATTTCCACAGGGTTTTGCATCTTTTCCAAACCTTACAGTTTTATTACTTGTAGGATTTGGTAGGTTTGCATCATAAGCCTTGACTTATAACAAAAGAGGTTTCATGTTTTAAATATGTATACTAAAGTTTTAAGTAATCAATATGAACCATTAAGATCAGTGGAAACCCCACCACAGACTCCAACCCTGCTAGGACAGGCAGCGATGCTCTGGTTAGTGAACAGTCAGGCAAGGATGTGGGGTGAGAGAACCAACCTGCTGGAAGAAAAGCAGATTCCAAAGAACAAAAGCTGCTTTAGTACCCACTGGAAAACAAGTCCAGCTTCTGTTCCCATTTGAGTTATAGAAGATCGTAAGCCAATGCCAGGGACCAGAATAGAATTTAAGATAATATCACAAAGATTTAATTCCATACCAATCCACCAACATGAACTTGAACTCTAGACATTTAAGGCAAATATCATTCAACATGATATATGGGTCAATAACCTATTTCTTTAAAGAAAATAAATTCCTTTCCCCCATACCAAAGGTATATACTATCACATTATCACCCAATTATAAAGTATATGCATACTTGAAATTATTTTTATGTCTTATTAATTTTCAGTGTTCTCTCATTAGATAAACTATTCTCAGAGAAGGAAATGAAGACATCCAATACCAAAGAAGGCACTCAGCTCTGGCAATAGAAGCTTCCCTTGTCACGTACTTTTTAAACTCTAAGAGCATTAACATAATATCTATAAAAGCTCATCCATGACACCAAGCCTTAAACCTGGGGCACTGAAACACAAAGACACAAGACAAATCTTTCATGCCTCCAGTTACTCAGCATTTTCCCTGGGAATCTTTTTTTTTTTAAGTACTAGATCTAAACAAAGGCTAATACTGTGACTGAAATACATTTTGAACAGGCAAGGAGAGTAAATAAATACACTATTGTTATAACATGGAAAAATACCTATAAGGTGTTAAATGAAAAACAGCATAACATAAAACTGAAAATGGCATCAGCATGACCTCAGTTAAACCCACACAATCTCACACCCCATCTACAGAAAGGGAGACTAGAAGGAAATACTAAAGTACCAGTAGTGGTTGTGTTTGAGAAGGCTGAGACTAGGGGTGACTTTGTTACTGTTTTCTTTCACTTTTCCAAATCTTTAATGAGTAACATGCTACTCTTTTTTAATGAAACAAACAAGTAAATAATAAATATTTACTGACCACTTGCTGAATGAATAGATGCCACCTAACTCAATTACCCTAAAATTCCATCAAGGTAGAAACTGGGTTTGGGTCTGGCATACAGTTCACTGTGTCACCACAGGTAAGTACAGCAGGACAGTGTGGATGGGTACAGATGATTACTGGATTGGAGGAATCCAAGGCCGTGGATTAAATCTGACTCTGTGTGACCTAGCCCAAGATTTATTTCCTCAGTCTGTCAAGTGAGAAGTTAGACTAGAATAGCGTTACCTAATCTTCAGTGGGTTACTGACCACTCTAACTCAAAAACACTCTTTTCTAGGAAAAAACCAAACGAACAAAAAAACCCCACATATGCTCACAGAGCTTTTAAAAACAAGCCAGGAGGTTTATGGATGCTCTAGAGAGTCACAGACCAGGTCAAGAACAATGATGGGTTAGTATGTTATCTTCTGCAGCTCAGGATCCACTGCCACAGTGAGGTATATTATAGTCCTTTCATTTCCTGTATCTTTACGGAGGGCCTGGTCTAGAAGCTACCGTCAAAATATGCTGAGGTCATTAAGTATTCTGCCCTAACCAACAGCCACCTTTCAAAAGTGTGGCTTAACTATGCAGCTCCAGTCTTCTTTGCAGATAACAAGGAATTCTGGCACCATACTAAAAACATCAGATTAAACAGAACACTAGGCTGCTGAAACTGAAGCTAAGCAGAGGGTAACCAAAACTCTAACAGAACAAAAAACAAAACCCGTTTCCAGAGGCATTCCCACTGAGCTGACATTCCAACTGGAAATGTGTTTTAAGAACATGGGTTACCTTGACCTCAGAATTCTCTACGCTAACAGGTAAGCACAGAGGAGGTTTACAAAGGAACCCACAAAAGGCAGTATTTGATCAGCTACAGCTTATTTGCCAATAGATGAGCATTTCTTAAGCAGCCTACATCACATATCTTGTTCCATTACTCATTTCTACCATCATTTACCCATTCAAAGCCAAGAAAATATTTTCCCCAACCCTAGGATTCAAACAGGATGGACAGTTTTCAGTTCTGAATACTCTTATATTAAAAAAACAAAACAAAGCTCCATTTCAAATGTCATACACTAGTAAAACTGCTACAAAACAGTACTTTCAAAAGGCCAGAGGCATGGGGTATGGCTTCATTCTGTTGTGTCTCAGTCACATCTGGGAGTTTCGCTTACCTAATTGTTTCTGAAATAAGTTTCATCAAAACAGACATGAGTCAGGAACGTGACGTTTCCAGGTGCTGCCCAGATTGGCCCTTCTTCTGGCATTACTAAGCTTTCTCTCCCTGACTCTCCTGCTACCTACCATCAGTCCAGTTCTCTTCTTAGTACTGACACAGGGGTAATCAATCATATATACCCCGAGAAAGTCTTCAGTCTTCAGAGTATCTCTACAAGAGGGTACACAGCCTATTTGCCCAGGTATCCTGCCTCCATTTGGGGGGTGAGAAAGCACGATGCTCTACACAATTATGACCCAGACCAGATTCCAAAAATAATTCTTCTGGCCTCAGAAGAAATCTAAAGCTAAGGTGATCAGTTTAAGTCAGGCTTAAATCCCTTTTGAGTCTTCTGATGGCTTTTTGTTGCTGCTGATAACCACAATTCTTCCTCCTAAACTACCATACTACAATGCCCTGAAACTTAAAAAAAAAAAAAAAAGGGGGGGGGGTTAAAAAATGAATTTTTTTCCTGTTTTTAAAGATAATACCACATAATGTGACCTACCAATAGGCCAATGGTAGAATTCCTCTTGCCACCCACAGGCCACTCCAAAACAAGTTGCTGTATAAAACTTTCCCAACTATGCTAGAAGTTTGGAGTTAGCTACCAACAAGCCTGAAGATTTGGTTACGTATATAGGTGCAAAGCTGGTTCATCAAATCCCTGTTCTGACCCTCAACCCAATGCATTTCAACTAAGGCATCATCTACCTCCTTCTTAACGTTTATCAAACACTTGAATAGGTAATGGCCAGCCACTCCTTGAAGATGGTTCCCTTTTTCAGACACTGGATTGCTGAACTGCTCAGAAGCCTCTTGGTCCTGGGTTTCATTGCTAGAGCCTTTACAACTTTCCAAACCCTCCATCTCTCCTTTTTCCTCACTCCTTTCGTCCTCCATGGGTTCTGGGTTTTCTTCCTGAGAAAGCGAATCCTGGACTGAGCCATGGCCCCTCATAGGGGCTGACTCGCCTTCCTGTACAGCAGGCCCAGTACTCTCCCCAGGGCCCTGAGCCAAATCTTGGCTACTGCCAGACTCTTTGGGGGTGAACTTTTTCTCTTCCAAGGCTTGGATGACATCCTCAGGAGCTCGAGGAACTTCTCTCAGTTGTCTCAGCTGTCTCACTCGTTCTCTTTTCTTTCTCCTTAAATGAATCCAGGAGTTTTCTATGGCTGTTAGGAAAAGACTAACTTCCTCCTTTCCACAGGGAACTCGCTTATGCTGGACCTATTTAGAGATAAAACAAAAATTTATAGGAAATCACTTTTCTACTCAAAACTTCTTTAAATAAAAGTAAAGGAGCCCTGGCTGGTGTGGCTCATTGGACTGAGTGCCTGCCTGGGAACCAAAGGGTTGCAGGTTTGATTTCTAGTCAGGGCACATGCCTGGGTTGCAGGCCAGGTCCCTGTATCTCTCACACATCCACATTTCTCTCCCGCTTTTTCTCCCTCCCTTCCCCATCTCTCTAAAAATAAGTAAATAAAATCTTTTTTAAAAAAAGGAAAAGAAAATAAGAAAGAGATTATAAGTACTTTTTCAATGTGTTTATTAATTAGGTACCTTCAGATCAGTGAGAATTTTTTCAATCCATGTCGTTACAACTACTATGCCTTCCACTGTCTCAGAGCCCAAAGGTGACACTTTGAGGGATAATTCTTTCATCACAGACTCCAACACTACAAATGTAATGGGTTTCCTTGGCTTCTCTAGTTTTCTTCGCTTACTTGGTGGTGACTAAAAGAAGAAGAAGGCATGGGAGAAGAGGAGAAAGTTATCCAAATAATTTAATGCATTATAATGAACTCAGCCAGGAAATGTCCATGACTTGTTACCAATCACAGAGTACTCAAAACACAAAGGCTTTTTTTGGTATGTATGTTTGTAATAGTTAACCCTGAAAACAGGCCTATCGCTTCCCCATTTTACAGAAGAAAAAAAACTACAATACAGAGAGGCTGTGTGACCAGCTCGAGGCCACATAGGCAATAACCGCAAAGTTAGGATGGGACTCCAAACCCAGGTTCTTTCTGTCACACCATGCTTCTGGTGTTCTGGCTGTCATATGTGACAACTCCTCCAATAACTAAATGTCCTTATCTACCTGTGATGTCCCCAATAGGCCCGCATAATTATTTCCTTCATGGCAACTCAAGGACTCCTGAAGGCACTGTGTTCTTTTTTATAAAGAACTTCATGGCTTAAAAATCTCCAACTTGTAGTTTGAATTCATACTTGCTAAGGCTTGAAAGAAAATAGCTGGTGAGCTGCAGCTTGTGAGATCACATGCTAAAAATGAGCAGGGTGCTAGGATCACACGGGTGGAAAATGAGGACTGCTGGATCTTGCTTCATAGTAGAGCCACTGGCTTGGCACTGCCTCTCAGTTGTGGAGAGGGGGCACCAGAACCAATGAGAACAGTGAATTTGAAAGCTGGTTCCACATAATTCAAAACTGTTATCTTTCTTTCTATTTCAAGCTTAGAAAGTGAACTGTACTCTACCCACTAGAGGGACTCAAGTTCCATTCTATAAATCAAATGACACTGCTGTATTTAAAATTTATTTCTTTAAAGTAAGAAGTTTTTAAATATTTAAAAAAAACTCAGCTAAGACCAGATATATTATGGACACTTTATTTTTGGAGACAGTCTCATACTTGACAAAATTTATCAAAACTTAAAAAAAACTGAGGTAATTTTAAGGTCATGGTCAAGATGAACAGATGAAGATGAAGAAAGGCTTAAAAAGAGAAACACCTACTTAGCCTTGCAGATATTTTCCTACAAAAACTGAGTCCCGGATTAACTGTGTTGCTGTTAACTCCAAATCTACCTGGAAACAGTGTCAGATCAGGTGCAAACACACACAGAAGGGTCTAACTACTGGGTGAGGCCTTTTAACAACTAATCAGCAATCCCATTCCCTCTACATATATATACAAAATAGTTTATTCTTTGATAGAAAACCTGATGAGACAAATTCATATTGACATTAAGCCAATAGTACTGTTATTACTCAACCACCCAGCACAAGAAACACAATTTCTAGTCTACTGAGAGCCTAAATATTTTGCACTAAGGAGATTCAATTGGGTAGGAAGAAAGATGGTGGTGTATAGGAGGATGGGGCACAAGAATTGGATTCACAAACAAAATAAACAAAACTGAAACAGACTGATGGCTGCCAGAGGGGAGAGGGGTTGGGGACTGAGTAAAAAAGAACAAGGGGACTTCCGCCAAGATGGAGGTATAGGTGGATGTGCCGTACCTTCTCACACAACCAAGTTTAGGGACAACTAAATATTAGCACCAGAGAACACAACCAGAACACGGAAAATTGAACTTTTCGGAAGTCCGTTAACAACAAATTCTTCAGCCCGACCGGTAAGGGGCGAAACCAGCGTCTCGTGAGGAGTTGCACGGGAGGGCTCCAGTCGGACGGACCCAGGCGCGGAGTCCAGACGCGCGAATCCAGGCGCATGGGTTCCAGGCCCAGGGTTGGACCTAGTGAGCGACCGAGCGACCCACCAGGTGAGCGACTGCTGAGGAGACGGTGGGGAGGTGGTGCTGCGTGTTGACTGCGATTGCCTGTCTGCGGGCGAGCGGACGGGCGAGGGCGAGCGGACGGGCGAGGGAGTGGGCAGTTGGACCAGCCACGGCGGGTAAAGGGCGCCGCCATTTCCCCGCTCTGACCACGCCCCCACATACAGCGTCACAACCCAGCGACCTGGGAGTCCAAGGCGCCGCTTCTCACACTTAAAGGGCCAAAACAGACCAAAAATGTCGCAGGAAGACCTCAAAGCCCCAGAGATAAATCTAAGCGACGAAGAAATAGCAAAACTCTCAGACGCACAGTTTAAAACTCTGGTCATCAGCTTCCTCACAGATCTGGTTGACTATAGCCACAAATTAGAGAAACATATGAAGGCTAAACTAAGGGAAATTAATGGAATTCCACAGGAAACCCATAGAGATGAAAAGGAAACTGGGACTCAAATCAATGGACTGGTCCAGAAGAAAGCGAATAATGGCCAAACAGAACAGAGTCAAGAAGCAAGAATTCAAAGAAATGAGGAGAGTCTTAGGAACCTCCAGGACATCTTTAAACGCTCCAATATCCGAATTATAGGGGTACCAGAAGGGGGAAAGACACAACCACCAGTGGAAAAATTATTTGAACAAATAATAAAAGAAAATTTCCCCAATCTGGCAAAGGAAATAGACTTCCAAGAAATCCAAGAAGCTCAGAGAGTACCAAAAAAGTTGGACTCAAGAAGAAACACACCAAGGCATATCATAATTACATTAGCCAAAATTAAAATGAAGGAGAGAATCCTAGAAGCAGCAAGAGCTAAGGGGACAATCACCTACAAAGGAGTCCCCATCAGACTGTCAGCAGATTTCTCAAAAGAGACCTTACAGGCAAGAAGGGGCTGGAAAGAAATATTCCAAGTCATGAAATCTAAAGACCTACAACCAAGATTGCTCTATCCAGCAAAACTTTCATTTAGAATGGAAGGACAGATAAGGTGCTTCTCAGATAAGATCAAATTCAAGGAGTTCATCATCACCAAGCCCTTATTATATGAAATGTTAAAGGGACTTATCTAAGAAAAAGAAGTTAAAGAAACATGAACAGTGAAAGAACAACAAGCTCACAGTTATTAACAACCACACCTAAAACGAAAGCAAACTAAAAGGACAGCTAGATCAGGAGTGGAAACATAGAAATGAAGATCTCAAGGAGGGTTAGCAACAGGGGAGTGGGAGGAGGAGATGGGGGGAGAAGGTACAGAAAATAAGTAGCATAGACAGTAGATAGAAAATAGATGGGGGGGGGGGGCAAGAATAGCATGGGAAATATAGAACCTAAAGGACTTGAGACACATGGACATAAACTAAAGGGGGGTAATGGTGGGGATGGGGGGCAGGGTGGAGGGGAATGAAGGGGGGAATAGAACAACTGTAACAGCATAATCAATTTAAAAAAATAAATTTAATAATAAAAAAAAAAAGAACAAGGGATTAGAACTACAAATTGGTAGCCACAAAATAGTCACAGGGATATAAAGTACAGCATGGAAAATATAGTCAATAATACTGTAAGTACTATGTATGGTGCCACTCCTGGGAGGGGGGGACACTTTGGGGGGAAATACTAGGGGGCAACACTTTGTAAAGCCTGTGAGTGTCTAACTACTATACTGCACACCTGAAAATCATACAAAGTAACATTGAATGTAAACTGTAAATAAAAAATAAAAATAAAATAATCAGATTCCCTATTATACTTCCCAACATCCATCCAAGGCTATCACTACGGAGAGGCCACTGTAACAGGGCCATCCCTAACAGCCCTCCCGGCACACCAAAGGTTATCGACAAATGGTGAAAGGACAGTGTTTACATCCCTTTGGACGGAAGTGGTAATCCTTTGTGTTCACAAATTCCAACCAGCAAAGTGAAGACAGTGCTGCTATGTTTGTGTTTCTTATTTGTCTCACTAGAGTCAGCCTGCAATCATCTTCTTTCTCCAAAAGAATGGACTCATCATCATTTCTACAACTTAAAGGAGAGAAATGCATCCTCACCAAACCTAGCAAGAATTCTGTCTAGGATCCACTTTCCAAGTCCTAAAGGAGTCAGAAACAACAAAATAGGCAATTTACTGCCCAGGTATCCCGGGACTAAAATGAAACTCCTCTGTCTCAGATATGGCTCTTTTACCTTGTACCCTGGCCCCAGTTTTCCACACACAATGATAATTGACAAATCTGGATATACAAATATACATAGACAGTTTCCTATTTTAGTTTTACTCTATTATACAATATCAGTACTCAAGTGAGATAATTTGTATTCTCAAAATTCTCAAGCAAAGTTTTTAAATGATTAAAGATGAACTTAAGCCTGGCTTATAGCAATCATTCCTCTCCCCCTCAGATTTGTACTGAAAATTCTTGGTAGGCAGGGCCAGAATGAAATACAGGAGCAAGTCCTTAGAAATTAATAGTTGAAATCAACCCCACAGGTCCCTGGTAGTAGGTAAATTTTATTACCTGCCACAACACTAGTAAATAGAAGCTGTTTGTTTTTCCCCAATTGAGATGATCTTTTGTTAATATGCTTACAATCTCAAACCACAGTTTTTTTAAAAAGATTTTTTAAATTTATTTCCAGAGAGAGAGAGAGAGAAAGGAAGGGAGGGGGAAAGAGAAGGAGAGAAACAACCAATGTATGACTGGTTCTCATGCACCCCTCCACTGGGGACCTGGCCCACAACCCAGGCATGTGCCCTGACTGGGAATTGAACAGGAGATCCGTTGGTTCGCAAGTCAGCACTCAGTCCACTGGGTCACACCAGCCAGGGCTCAACCACAAATGTTTTAAATGAAAAGTGCTATATTCAAACTGTCATAATTTAGTTTAACAGGCAAGATAACATAAATAATCTGTCATTTTAAAGTATAATTAAAAAAATCAATTCTTTACAATGGCTAATTCAGTTTAATGCAAAGGACCAGCAGATAAATTTACAACTGATTTCACATTAGAAGATGTTAATGTTACCCAGCTGAAATTACAATGTGAAAGAGGCTTGGTGGGGAGCAGTAAATCCCACAGTGTATACAGGTTTTGTACCTTTTGAATTGCAAGGATTCAATGAATAATAATCAGCAGGTGGAGGACCTTCAAATGTTATTTTGTTGCATTATTAAAAACACATTAGACTAAA